AGTGACTTTGATGCCAAGGAGGTCCTTTCCTTCTTTCCACTGCAGAGATGAGAACTGACGCTCTCCCATCTCATGTTCCCTTCCATCCCTCGATGGGATTTTCCATAGTCCTGCCTATATTTTGCTTCAGATACAGATGCAAAGATTTTGATATTAGCCACTTCCCCTTTTTTAATAATTATCAACTATTTTTCTTTTGGAAAAAAAAAAAAAAAGTGTGAAATATTTGTTATTTTCAAAGGAAAATATTTAGTTTAATGACATATCTGTTCACAAAACAAATCACGAGTGACTGAAAATAGAATGTATGCTACCACTTTGTGAAAGTCATTTACAGCACAGAAAGACCACTTTGGCAGACACATTTATGTCTATACAAGATTAGATTTTGCATTTATTATGGGCATGTGGCATATTATTAATTATTAACACCAAAAATAAATGTTTATGTTTGCAGAAAAACAAGCTGCTAAATTCTGAAAAAATATTGTCAGGGATTTACACGTTGTGTCATGTGTGTTATGTAAATGGAAACAGCAGAGATTCAGTATTTATTATTAGAACAAAACATTTTTCATCCTGCGAGCGGAAATCCAGGCTGTAATTTACATGAATCTCTGAATCAACAAGTCTGATACTTAAGAATAACCCTTTGTATATCAAATAACTGACTTTGCCTTCTCACCAAGGGCATACCTAGTGGAACTCCTTTGTCCGTATTCCCTGGGGAACTGCACAGAAATTACAAAAATGCTTCTCCAAGAGATCTGAAACAGTTTATTTTCTATCCTAGACCTGAGGAATGAGTAACGGGGGTCCCATTCCCTGCTAGAAGGAACCAATGCCACCCAAAGCAAAAATCCTGCTGGTGGGGTAGTTTCTCTCCCAGAATTTCAGACCAAGATGTCCTGTTCAGAGAAGCTCTCAGCCCTGAAACATGATTGGGAAAGATCTCCTTACCCTCTAAGGAAAAAAAATTATCAGACTGTATGGAGATGGAGGCAGGAGTAGGATGTCAGACTCGCATATCTCTTTATGTAGTGCACATCAATGCAACATCATACTCCCAGCTGGCTGCCCAGATTACCTTACTCGGGGGCTGGAGGGCTTTTGAGAGTGCTGCATGCCTCCACCAACCTTTTCCATTAAAACTTCCCAGCACTGCTAAACCGGGTCTGCTCTGGGCAGAGCACTATGATGGAAGCCCTGGTCTAGACAAGGCACTTGCAGCTGCCAGCATTTTTCTGTTCTGCCATCCATCCTGCTCAGAGAAAACCTCTTGCAAACTGTACTGTGGAGGTTTCAGAGCAAGGGGTGACACTTTTTTCAGTAGTCTTCCTGTCCCCTGCCCTTGGGCTGTCTTGAAGCTCAAGCAGTGGCCAAACGCTGCTCAGGGATGTCTGTATTTGTGCTGCTTCACTAAACAGAGTCAGGATTTGTCCCCCTGCCTGCACAAATGCAGAAACCTTTTGATTTTGTCATTTATCTCAATACAGTTTTCCAATCATTTTGCTGGAAATGACACTGCTGGAGGGACTAAAGGTGCAAGCCCAGACCAACATTCAAATCCTCACCAACCAGTCAACTTTACAGGAGGTTAAACTGCTGTGGGCAAAGCAGCACTGAAGTGGACAGATGAGCTCTGCCTCTGGGAGAGTTCACTGTTTCTTGGCTATTTCTACCCCTGTCTCAGCTCAGCAGGGGGAGGCAGGGGCAAATTAGCACTCCTGCTATTGTTTCCCGCACCTTTTGCCTGCTGCTTCACCAAACCTCTTTCAGGTACTGGCAAAAAAGGCCAGAAACGTGTATGCAGCATGCCAGAGGAGCAGAGCAGGACACGGCGCAGGCAGTGGCTCTGCAGCACAGAGATGCACAGTGGCACTGAGCCACTCTCCGCACAGCGGGACCTCCCCTACCGCTGCTCAGCCCCGAAGGGCTGCGCCCACTGCCTGCTCCCTGCTGCCCTGTCAGGGCACCGGCCCCGCTGTGATCAGCCTCTTTGTTTTGAGGTCAGGCCTCAGCCGCCACATCACATCATATCTGCATATTTCACTTCAGGCCTCAGAAACCGCTACTCTGAAATGGTGGGTTTCAGGCAGGGAAGCTCCCCACGTCACTGGACACATTTGCAGGGACACCTGCTACTTCAGGCAAAGCTGGGGACTCTGCTACTGCCCAGTGTGGCGGTCCTCTGCTGCGGGGAAAAGCATCAATAAAATAATTCTGCTGTATCATTAGAGGTCTAGAGCAGGTAATAAAAGATTCATAATGGCACATGAGGGGATGCACTAAATATCCAAACTGCATCTTGAAATCATGCAAAGCTTGATTAGGTTCAGGACTTGGTTAAAAACTTGAAGTTCAGTTGGTGTTTCACAGAAAAGTTGGCAATCAGTGATACCACTTCTGTAGCAGCAATTTATGCTGTTCCCAGTAGAAATCATGCCTTGTAGCAAGGAGTATCCTAACAGGCACAGGTGCTCCCATGCTCAGGTCAGCAATCAAAAATTAATCCTTTTCCCTGATTCTGTTCAGGGCCGATACCAGCTATTACTGAGAAGACGTAAGAAATACTGCTGGAAGCACTTCCAAGATAACACGTTCCCAGTGTTGTGACTTTCCATTCCTCGGTATTTAACAGCTGGCTAAATCTTCATTTCAGCCAATTTCCAAACCAGTTAAGGCAGGTGGTGGGACCTGCAGTAGTCTGTGCATTTTTAAATATTCCATTCAAATGTCAGTTAATCTTATTTTTTGTCTAAATATCAAATCTGCTTTAGGAATTCTGCTAAAGTCCAGTCTCAAGGTGCTGTGGCAGCAAGTTCTCCAGTCCATTTACATGTGAGCAGTTGTCAGTCGCTACTCCAGGGGCTATTAGAAATTCAATACAGGCATTCGTGCAATATTTTCAGTTTCATTTTAAAGGCATCCTCCTTTACCCATTTTACTGCAGCTTATGATTCTAACAAGAACAAAAACAACACAGGCAAGTCTCCTCTAGCTGCTGAATTCCATCTGCTTTTCCATCCTTGCAACAGCCTCTGACAAAGAATTTAAAGCAGATCCCATTTTTCTGATAAGCTTAAAATTTGGCTGTGAAGTTTGGCCACATTCTCAGACTGGATATGATTTTTGGCCATCATTTTTACCAGTACGACACATTTAATCTCAGACTTGGTGACACTGCACTCAAACCAGCTGCTCCAGCTTTGATACACAAGAGGCTACTATCATTAGCAGAAGAACGTAATGATGTTTGACATATCAAATGACTTGGTCCTGCCTTTAATCTTTGTGGCCAGCCAGTCCCACCAGCCAAGTGGCAGTCTCAGCAGACAGGTCAGACTTGGCATGGAGGACAGAAACTTCCAACACGGCACCACAAGTGAGGTTTGGGGCACATTACTCAAGCAGCACAAGGCGTGGAGCAGCTGCATATGGCACACTCAGCCCTGCTCTCTACCGAGTACACCACTGCCGCTGGCATTATCGTCGCGTGAAGAGCTGTGCTCTCCGCACGTGAAAAGGAGGCTTCCTCTTCCACTTCGTGTCTAAAGCAAGAGAGCCCTCCTCAAGCTCTCCCAAACCTCACAGCATCTGTAAACAGCCAACCCAGACCTGCCCACAGCCAGCCGAAGCCAGTGTGCCTGGAGTGCCTCTGAGGCGAAGGTGCCCAATAGCTCTCACAGGCAGCAGGGCTGGTCCACCCGCACGTGCTGCTGCAGGGACTTGGCTCAGTGCATATGCTGTCCTGTACTTTGCTGTACAGCCCTCCATCTGTCTTGTAACTAGGGAAACAACGCATTTCTTCCAACTGCAGTGAAACTCTGCCCCTCTCCTTTACAAAAGGCCCTATGGAGCCTCGATGCCTGACACACTTCCAGTTCAAGTGGAAAGAGAAAATTACTCATTTTCATCTTCCATTCTTTTATACCAGCTCAGGGACGATTTCCCTGCACCAGGAGGCTGCAAACAGAGCAGGAACTGATTTGTGGGCTGAAAAACCCTGAAGCTGAACTTTCCCACCCTTTTGATCGTTCCTGGCTTTCCCACACAAACAGCTTTGCAACGTGTGTGGTACCTGCACTAACACAGCCACCAAAGATGCCAGAGAAGGAATGGAAAGAGCAAAGTAACGCCACTGCCCACACAGGGAAATGAAAGCTGGGAGGAACTAGAAGGTGTCTTTTTTAATTTGCTGGTTGAGCTGGTCATAAGGGTAAGAAGTAGAATGATGTTCTTAATGGCTCCTGCCACTTATTTACACAACCTACCAAATTCCATGGCCCAAGCAGAGAACAAGCCTATGACTCTACCAGAAATCCACTGCCTCATTTCATCTGGTTACGTCCCAGCATTGCAAAATGCCAAATCTTGTCAACCGAAGAGAATGGCACTGTTGCCTACATAAACACATTTAACACCTCTTAACATGCAAAACACGCAAAGAAACGATAAACACAGGCCCTGAGCGTTCACAATGCGGCCAGTGTCCGACTGCCCAGAGCTGGCACCTGGAGTCCATCAAATTCAGTAACCGGGTACTCGCCAGGAGTAAACACAATTCCTACACGGGACTCACTACCCGTCATTAGTTTTAGATACTGTTTTCTAGCCTGGAGAAGTCTGAAGGGGAGAACTGTGTGTGCCTCTCATTGGAACAGCGGCGGCGGAGCGGGTGCAGGAGGGAACCGGGCAGGCAGAGCGGAACGTGGGGCCGGAGTTTTCGCATCTTTCCGGAGCCCAGGAGGACCGGTACGAGGCGGGCGGTCACGGCAGCGCCCCAACAGCACAAACACCGCTTTCCCTCTGCTTCGGCGGCACTTTGGTGCTGGGGGCAGAGGACGGACAAGCACTTTCTAGGCGCGCCCAGCCCCGCGGGGAGAGCCTCCGGAGAGGCGGGCGGGACGCTGCCCTGCCCCCGCGTCCGAGCGCCGCTGCGGC